AGGAGCACTCAGCAGGTGTACGGTCAACAAGGGATGCTTACTCCTCCCTGGCATCTGATCCCAACTATTGATATGCCAGGGGTTTGCTTCCTCTCATTATAACCCCCCCCCCCCCCACTTAGAAAGTTGGTGGATATATAGCGATCGAGATGTCCATCTCTGTACGTCCATCTGTCTGTTACGTCTTGGGGTACTCTTCTCTTATGAATGAAATTTAATGAAACTTTCAAAGATTCTTTGTAACATAGTATCATTATGACCCCCTACTAGTATTTCACTTTTTGATCGGACACATATTTCGGGGGATTTTCCATAGCACTGAACATTGACACTGCCACTTTTTTAATAATATTGAAGGGTACCCATCTCTTATCCGCTAGTCCTCCTATACCACCGATACTTTCACAGATTCTTTACTACGTAATGCCATTCTTACCTCCAATTTTACTTTATTTCGGGTGTCTCCCAGAGCAAAACATGGACTCCTATTATAATTATATGGGAGGCGAGGGGTATCTTTAGGAGCTCCGTGCTCACAGTAGCTTTAGGTTTGTATCATTTAATAGATTTATACTGTTTGTTATCTTCAAATTCTGATTTTTAGTACTTAGATGTTTAGCATGTTTTGACAGGTGGACAGGCGGAATTGACGACAACAACGACACAAACACCGGAAGTATGCATGGATCTAAATGCTGCTTTCTGCAGCACCACATCTGTTCAGTCTTCTATATGTTCCGACCCCGACCTGTCTGTAAACTGGTGCAGAAAAACATGCGGAAGATGTCGTAAGTGAACATGAGTTTTTTTTTACTTTCATTAAAAAGATTAGGAAGTTTCCGTGCAAAAGAGAGAAACAAATGAAAATGTAATTGTCTAACAATCTCTTACATGCCATTGAAAGCAAAAAAATCAACATAAGATTAAAAACGTGTATGCTTGCATTTTAATTGATATGGATCGTTTTGTTAGCTACGACGACCACCACCACCTCGGTCCCGTGTGTGGACAACACCCCGGACCTATGCAGTGCTCCAGGAGCAGACCTAGTCTTCTGCTCAGATCCTGCGCGCGCAGTCAAATACTGCCAAAAAACCTGTAATAAATGCGGTAAGTTAATGCTACATGACATTGATTGACTACGTATTGTTTTACGTCCCTTTCGAGAAAGTTTCACTCAAACTGAGGCATCAACATATACCGGTGAAGGGTCTCGAATTTTAAACCTTATATTCGATCGGTACTCTGTTCCGTAAGCGTTGAGAAGTGAGGGATATTTATCGTGCCAACACCTACCGTGACACGGGGCCTTGGTTTACAAGGCTTTATCCAAAGAACCCGCAAACTTTTTTTTTGAAATGCCGAGCGCTTGGTGGCGGAACAGGTGCTACCTATTTTATCGACTTCAGGTCAGTTGTGGCAGGTGTTCAAACCCAAGACCTTCCTATCATATGGAGCAAGCGCTCTACCAAATGAGTTTCCGTTGCGGTCATTGCCTTTAATTAAATATAGCATATAAAGTAAGGATTGTAAAACAATTTGACAGAAACTAATTCAGAAGCTTCCCTAATAAGAATAAAGTTTTGATAATTGTCAAATATTCTACAAATCAAAATCACAAGTTTGAAAGAATAACAATCAATAGGTTCTCACAAGAGTTTCATCCATCCGCACGTCTTGATTAAATTTAAATTATTCCCAAAAATGTTTTCAAACTGTCTTTGTTTTATTTATATTAAACAGATGGATATATAATTGAAATACAAATTAAGCATAAGTATTTATTATTAAATTATCCTGCTCAAGTATCGTGGTTAAAATCTTTTTAACACAACTTTGAAACAACAGATATCCATCTACATCAAAACACGGCCACACCAGTACGTTCTACAACTGCGACAACAACGACAACACCAACAACCACCACTACAACACCAACAACTACCACGACAACACCAACAACTACCACGACAACACCAACAACTACTACGTCACCACCCTGGTTGTGCGAGGACTACGACGTAGCCCACTGCGCTGATCCGGAAGTCAAATTGTTGGTGTGTCTGGATATTAATTTGAATTATCTCTGTAGAAAAACGTGTGATTTATGTGAGCACAAAGGTTGAATAAATAAACTCATATTGTATTCACTCTCTCGGACACTTAATTGATTTATGTAACTCTTTTTCATGTTTTGTTGTTGTCGTTTTTGTTGTTGTTGTTATTGTTTAACGTCCCTCTAGAATTATTTTTCACTCTTTTGAGACGCCAGCACTTGCTATAGTCGTTGGAGTGCTGTAAATTTTTACTTATGCTCGGCACTCAGGTCCAGTGAGCAGTATGGGATCACCTACTGCGACACAGGACCTCGGTTTATACGGTTTTATCCGAAGGACCGGTCTCCACGTCCTACAGTAGGTGGAATTCAAACCCACAACTCCTTACTCCGCGACTCTACCACGCTGCCACGCGAGCGACATCTTTCCATTTGAAACAACTTTTATTAAATATTTTAAAGATTAATTGACACTTTTTTGTTTACGCCCAATGGAGAATACTTGACCATGCAAAGATACGACCAGCTTTATGTGAATTGATCATTATTAGCATTAAGATTCTTTCTCTTGCCAATGCCTATCGAGACATGGGCATCTCGGTTTTGTAGGAGTAGACACACTATTTGACGTCTTAAGATTGCCATCTTCCTGTCACGATGCCTGTCTAATGAAACATAATTAGAATGAAAACTAGAGCAAAGCTCGTTGCAAAGCAACGAGTGGGTCTTCCTTCCTAGCGATAAGCAAAAGATTAAATGTTTCTGTCTAGATTGTCAACTTTGCTAACATTCTCTTTTTCGATTTGTCTCAAAAACCCTTACTTGAATTCTTTAATTTGGTGTGAGCATGAGGTCTAAAAGGTACTCTCTCTAACAGCATTCTTGAAATCGTATCCACAACAGTTAAACTTCCAATATTATGACTTTTGATATCGGATATATCATGTTTGTTGCAATTATGTTTGTGAAACGTGTCATACTACAGAAACATAAGTGTTTTGCTACATTACCATCTTAAAAATGGCTTTAAAATCATTTAATATACAATATAACTAGGTAAATAAAATAAACAAATTATATAATAAATCAAAAAATCCAAATGTATTTACAATAATGATGAACAATCTTCATTAGTTGCAATCAGTTAGTAGAACAATACTTTTATAATAAACGCACAGAAATGTGTTGTGTATGTTTCAAATTTGCAGCTTTCCACTAGCAAATGGTGGTACCTCAATAGGAGTGTAAAATTCTCTGAAAGGTATATTGTAAACATAATACATATGGCTGTGAATTCTTTTTAGCGGCTTTGGCGGAATGCAGCAATCACTAAATCAAGTACAAAGCTAAAAGTCTTGTACATAAACATAAATAAGAACATCTACGCTAACTTATTCAAAAGTCAATTTCCACCAAATATTGTACAAGCTAAATATAATACATTTACAGCATTAAAGAAACAAATCTCTTTGAAGGTATTGCCCTGCATAAGAACAATTTGAATCCCCTACACTAAGGATGCTCTGTGCCAAGTTTCACTTTGGTTCTGGAAAATGATATTGTGAAATTTTAGACAATGATGATAATGGATAAAATTATGTTTTTAAAAAATTTACTGGTTCCTTTAGCTCAGATGGGCTAATAAGTATGCAACAGGCACAGTTTTGCAGTTGACATTGAAATGCGACTGGACATCTCTTCAATCTTGTTTTAGAAAACTACATGTACATGCCCTATGTACTGAATTCCTTGGAATCATACATGTCTATGCCTTTATTTAGTTGTATGTGCCAAAATAACATTTTTTTTTTCATTATACTGTAAAAAATACACATACATATCTTACAAGATCTTATATTCCTGCTGAAGACAGAGGATCTATCTTAATCATTAGAATAAGTAAGTCTAAACTTTGAAAGGGAAGACCTTAATAAAGAGGTCAACATGCAACACAAACAAAATATTATTATATTTAAAAATAACATTTATTCCAATGTTATTACTGGTACATGTATTTCTGTTACAATAACTATTTCACTTGAAAAACTGAGAGCAATTGATATGTTCATATTTGTTGATTTATGTTGTCAAATCAAAATTTAAAAATAATACACAGTGTGTTTAAAAGTTGTCTTCACAAACCAAAACTTGACTTATTTTCACTATGCTGTTTATTCCATGTCACATCCAAACAGATGATCTTCTGGCAAATCATGGTCATGCTTGGTATCAAAATTCAGTATTCAGATGAGTCACACCTATCCAAAAGAAATTGAAATTTTTTAATTTATAATTCTTTTACTGATAAAAAGTGCAATTCATGAGATTATAAAATTGAGAGATAAGATATTGTCACATTTTCTGTGTATAATTTGTAAATTTTAATGTACTCTTTCATCAATTAAAAGAAGTTTACACCAATTAAGGCAGTCATATATGCTATCCCCTAATTAGACAACATACAAGTGCAAAGTAATCATGCACTAGCGGGTTTAGGATAATGTGCTAGAGTATTTATGACAACATACTAGCACGAGGTGACAATGTGCTAGCATGTACGTCAGTGATATTACGCCAGCACACTGAATCCAACATGCAGTGAAGCTTACACTCAACAGATTGTTTAGAGTTGTGTTTGCATGATATTTTGGTTTGTGTTAACACAGCAGCGTGTTGTTTAAAGCTGTATTGGAGTGGCAGTCTGTTGAAATTAACATGCTTACACACTTCAACTTCACATCATTGGAACACCATAATTTTAAAAACTGGCAAACCAATATCTTATGATTGCTAACTAGGTAATTGCAACTGTAAATGCTGATTTCATGGTGACAATAATACCGGTAATTCACTGTATATCTGAGAACTGATCAATTATAATAAGGCAAGTCCAAATAGGGCCACTTGCTAAAGCTCAATAGCACTTTCATAGAAACGTGCCATCTTGCCGACACAAAAGACGCCATTAGGCTATCACACAGCTCGCCATCACAACACTGAAAAACAATTTCGCACTAACACAAGTTCGCACCACACGCTGTCACACTAACACACAACACACTGTCACGCTAATACAATTTCACACAACAAAATATCAGGCTAACACGAGTTCAAACAACACACTATCATGCTAACACGAATTCACAAACACGCTGTCTCGCTAACACAAGTTCACACAACACGCTGTCTCGCTAACACAAGTTTTACACAACACACAGTCTGGCTAATACGAGTTCATACAACACACTGTCTAGCTAACACAAGTTCACGCAACACACTGTCACGCTTAGATGAATTCACACAACACACTTTCACGCTAACATGAGTTTACACAACACGCAGTCTCACTAACACGAGTTTACACAATACACTGTCACGCTAACACGAGTTTACACAATACACTGTCACGCTAACACAAAGTCACAAAACAGGCTGTCTCACTATTCACTAACACAAGTTCGCACCAAACGCTGTTGCGATAACACAATGTCATCCTAATACCATTTCACACAACACACTGTCATCCTAATACCATTTCACACAACACACTGTCAGACTAACACGAGTTCACACAACACACTGTCACGCTAACACGAATTCACAAAACAGGCTGTCTCACTATTCACTAACACAAGTTCGCTCCAAACGCTGTTGCGATAACACACTGTCATCCTAATACCATTTCACACAACACACTGTCATCCTAATACCATTTCACACAACACACTGTCAGGCTAACACGAGTTCACACAACACACTGTCACTCTAACACAAATTCAAAAAACATGCAATATCGCTAACACGAGTTCACACAACACGCTGTCTAGCTAACACGAGTTTACATAACACGCAGTCTCGCTAACACGAGGTCACACAATATGCAATCTCTCTAACACCAATTCACACGACAAATTTTCAGGATAACACAAGTTCACACAACACACTGTCATGCTAACACGAATTCACACAAAATGCTGTCTCGTTAATAAGAGTTCACACAACACGCTGTCTTGCTAACATGAGTTTACACAACACGCAGTCTCGCTAACACGAGTTTACACAACACCCAGTCTCACTAACACGAGTTTACACAACACGAAGTCTCGCTAATACGAGTTCAATCAACACTCTGTCTAGCTAACACGAGTTTACACAACATACTGTCACACTTACACTTTATACACAATTTCACACAACACGCTGTCTCGCTAACACTAGTTTACGCAACACATCGTCAAGCTAACAATGTCTGAACTTGTTTTTAAACTGTCATCACGGTCTTTGTTCATTACCCTGTAAATGAGCCCAGCTTTCAGTACTTCTGAGTACTTTGATTATTCACTGCATAAAACCTAAGACAAAAACATGGTGCAGTAATGTTACTTAACCATGCACCCAGCATTTGAAGTGAATGAGACCTTAAAAACCTCATATTACATGTTAGGACAATGTCACTGAGTTCCAAATAAAGGTCTAAATTAAAACTATTCACTGGTATATATTAACACCTCTAAATGAGTGAAGAAGTGAAAATTCTAAAATAAAATTACCAATCAAAGTATCAATAAGACGCTGATTCTTACATCTCAGGTTCCAATCCCATTGCTAAATGCTTGAGACAGGTTACTCCAATGAGACCGTATAAACCGAGATTCAGTGTCAAAAGGATCCCTTACTTCTCAAAGGCAATAAGTGCTGAGTACAAGTCTATATTTGCGGCTTTAATACTATCCTAAGTGGTGGCATCATCAAATGACTGGAAAATGTTTGATAGGCCAATAATCAAACAAACCATTCCTGCAGTCATCTAAAAAATAAGCAATTTTTCTATTATTACAATTGTTTTTACAAATTTCTTTTGCGATTAAACTGAGCAACATTTGTGCAATTTTTTGTCAATAAATTTTGATACTAAAGACGTTGTTTGAACAGCTTTTTATAGCAAGTACAGACAGCAGCATGAAGCGCTGCTCATAGTGCAAGCTCTCATGACAATGCCTTGGCGAAGAGAAAATTATCACTTGCTTATTGATCCGCACAATTTCTTTTCCGCAGTAACTTTGGATCCACAGTGCTTTGATTCTTTAAGCTACATTCTTGCAAGAATTAACCAAAAGTTTCCAAAAAATAAATTTACCTTGATTTAATGGATAAATTGCAGATAAATAGTGGGGAAAAAAATTCTTCATTAAAGTCAGCACTATTCAAGATTTAGACTGGTAATGTAGGCCTAACTTACACCACGACATCGTGTGACTTCAAAGTCTAGTGCCCTGTTCACAATTGGAGAGTTTAATTCGCAGTAAATTATGGCGAAGTAAACTAATGCGAATCAAACTAATGGGAATCAAACTGTGTTAACATGACAGCTAATGCGAAGTAAACAAATGCGAATAATTACTTCTACAGTCAAGCGTCAGTAAGGCTATCCACTCAAAAATAGCACAAGTACTTGAATCTGACCACCAATATGTAGCATTTGAATTAATTTTGCCATTACACATGCATCAAAATTTAATTCGAATAAGCTTCCCTTTGTGTTCACATGGAGCTAATGCGAAGTAATTTAATTCGCAGTAAATTAATTCGAATTAATAAAACTAATGTCACCGGTTCACAGGTGCGTGAAAGTCAGTCAAAATATCGGGTCTCAATAGCTCAGTTGGTTAGAGCGCTGGCACGGTACGCCAGAGACCCTGGGTTCGAGTCCCGGTTGAGACTTGATTTTTCACCACCTGTGACATTTGGCGCCCAACGTACAAAACCCACTATTTCCTTGGAACATGCCTCACAGCATTTCCTTAACTCGTAGAATTCGAGGACGAATTTCTACAAAGAGGGGAAATATGTCACCGGGTTCACAGGTGCGTGAAAGTCAGTCAAAATATTGGGTCTCAATAGCTCAGTTGGTTAGAGCGCTGGCACGGTACGCCAGAGACCCTGGGTTCGAGTCCCGGTTGAGACTTGATTTTTCACCACCTGTGACACTAATTTAAATTAAACTCCCTGTGTGAACAGAGCATCGATGCACCAAATATCAAGTGCGGTTTGACAAGCCCGATCTAAATTAAAACTGAATAAGTATCTGCCCTCACCCTAACAGTGTTGCAGTGTATATTCAACTAATAATAAGTGTAGTGTGAATTAGCCCCTCCATGGTAACTGCAGTACTGCTCTTTTGCAGGGCAAAATAATAATGTTTGGCAAATTTTTTGTTGGAAGATAATGAAATGATGTATATTTAACAATTACTTATACGTCATATTTCACCAAACTATATCATTTTGCCCTGCAAAAGAGCAGTACCGCAGTTACCTTGAAACGGTCTGTAAGAGTATCACTATGATGGATAGTGGAGTGCTGAATTTTTTGTTTTGAAAGTGAGTCTTGTTGAAATTAAATGCTCACATATATTTAAATAAAAAGTAAAAAACTGTTAGAACTTTAAAAGGCTAACAGAAAGCATCTGAGCTTTAAAACAGATGTATCGGTGTGTCTGTGTATTTCTAAAAATATCAATGCTCTAAGCTGCCATAGTACAGCTGTAGTAATGTAAATTTTACGTAAAATAAATTTCTAACCTGCATTCCGATGGTTCACGCCAATCAGACTTTAAAATGTCACCGTCGACTCTTTCATCACTCGATACATTTATCACTGGGAACTACGAACCACAGTCACGGCTTGTTCATGTAACAGACGGAATTTCCTCGTAAACAATTCACACAAACTACAAATCGGATAATTCTGCTAAGGATAATGCTCCATAGGATTGATTAAGTACTTCGTAGCTGCAGATTAAATGTGCGTGCATGTCTACATACAGCTTGTGGCTTGTGTGGTAAGAAAATGCTCCACTGCACTTCACATGATTTCAGTTTGTAAACATGTGTCCGATTTTTGGGACACACTAATAACCGGATATACGAAAGACCTGATATTTACCTGATGTTTTTATTTTAGATTAAATGACAATATTGAGTACTTCAAATGACTTATTTGAAGACGTTATGACTATGATGCATAATGCTATACAAAAATTCGTTTGTTTGGAATATTTACTGACGATTTTGAATCAGGTCAAATAAGGTTTTTAATATATCAGGTCTTTAGTACCTTCTCATTTCCCACAATGGGGAGGGTATAATGCCCTGATAGTATAATGCCCTGATTGACCTGATTGAGTACAAACGCAAAAATACAAAGTTTTTAAATGTAAAACCTATATTTTTCTTGTTGGAAATATTAAATATTATTATTATCTATAAGATTCAGGGAAAAAACCGCAATTAAAATCTGTTTAGGGGGATTTATTTCACATGTAAATTTGACAGGGGTATAATGTCCTGATTTTGCGGTATAATGGCCTGATTGCCTGATAATATAAAAACTTGCAACAAAAGCAATTTTTCATTGATTTCTTTTTTGAATCATATTTTATTAATTTAATGTATGAAATATAAAACTTATTCATGCAAATTTAGAATTTTTTTCTTATTATTTGTTATTCTAAAGCGATTTGAATTTTTGCAAGGGTATAATGTCCTGATTTTTGAATGCCCTGATTGTGATTAATGGTGCATTTAAGTCATTTCTTTATTGTTTTGTTTAAAGTTATGAATGTTTTATATACAAATCTGGTAATTTAAAGTCCAATTTTGTAGAGGATCTATGTTGCTGTGTTTGTGTGTTTGTTTTTTTTTTATTGTAGAACTCTTAGCCATGCTTTGAAATTATGCATGTTTCCAGACCCAACGACGTGGACGTAGTTCTACTCTGGGTCCATTTTTTTTTGTTATTGTTATTATTATTTTTTTTTTTTCTGTTCTTTTCTTTTTATTTTACTTTTTACATTTTTCTGCTCGTTTGTTTGTTTGTTTGTTTGTTTGTTTGTTAAGTTTTTGTAGAACTCTTAGCCATGCTTTGAAATGATGCATGTTTCCAGACCCAACGACGTGGACGTAGTTCTACTCTGGGTCCATTTTTTTTATTTGTTTTTTTTTTTTTTTGTTTTGTTTTTTTTTTTTTTTTTTTTTTTTTTTTTTGTTTTTATTTCAAGTTTTTTTTTTCTATTTCTTTACAATCTCTTTGGTTATGCTAACCATATGAACATCTTTTAGAAGTTCCTGTGAGGGGTGCAGAACCAATCATCTGAGTCCCCATCTTTGTCTATGCAATCCAAATGTCTCCAGCTATTGCATTTCTTGTCTCCATCACATCCAGCCATTTCCTGCACTAAGTTAGGGAGTCTACATTTACTGCAATCACATGGTATGTCGATGTACGTAATCTTCTTTTTGTTCAGTTTTGCTTTCGTCTCAACTCTTGGAAATGGTGTCATTGTTCCCTTTTCTAAGCAGCAAACCAAATGAGCGCGAAGGTATTCGGAGTCGAACTTTATCAATTTTTTTCCAATGTAGTATCCGAAGCAAAACTGGACAACGTTTGCAATGGCAAACAGACCACAGTCAACACCGTTGGTTTGTTGCTGGATAGATGGTACTCTAACTGTAACTGTCTTAAAGTCTCCCCCATACAAACTTGCCAGTTGTATCTGTAGTGATGGGGAGAGTGACCCATGGAAGAGACTGTCAAATAGATAAATTTGTCCATCAACCTTGGCAGATGAGACCCAGTGGTATTTGCCATTATGGTGTATTTGGGCTGCTGGTGACATGGCATTGGCAAATTTAAATTGGTAGATCCATCTGTTATCTTGTTCGTCCCAAACTGGGGTGTTTTCGACTCCTTGAAGGCCTTGAATGTCTTTGAATTGTGCCTTTAAAATCCGTAGAACTTCATTCATGATGTCTGAGCAGAGTGACTGATTGGAGACGATTTTCTGCTTGTGGTCTTCATTCAAGTTTCCTACCCATGGTTTTGGCTGTGGTTCGGAAACTCCAATGACTTTTCGTTTCTTTGCCGGCAGATGTTTCTGATCCTCTGACCCAACTGGGCTGAGAGGCATAAATCTCAACTTCTTCTTGTTTTTTGGTGCCTTCTTCCTGTCTGGTGTCGGTAATACAGAATCAAAATCTAATTTCTTCTTGGAGTTTGGTGTTTATACTTTGTGCCAACTTTCATCACGGAATCTGGTGCTGGATTAATGATGGGATCAATGTCATTAATCCGAGGTTTCTTTCTCCCTGACTTCTTGTCACTCCTCTTTAAACTTCTCTTTGATAGTGTCCTTAAACTGATTTCACGATTGTCATCGTCTACTGGCAACCCAACAAACATCCTTACTGCAATGATGTGGTAACAGCGTGTCATTGAGGGGCATTGGCAAGTCTCTGGATGTAAAGTAACGCAATACTTTTTGTCATTGTGACCTTTCACTATGTATGAATTACACTCTGGAACATGAGTAACGCCTTTACTATCCAGGACATATTTGGCAAGAGACTTTTGGCTGAGATGTCTGTCTTTGCAGGGAGTAGCAGAAGGACTGTCTAAATCAGGAACATCACTCAATTTATCGGTAGTCTCAAGCTCGCAAGTTGACTCCAATGACTCACATGTGGATTTGCTGCTTTCTGTCTGCTCATTTATCTCTGGTTTCATTGTTTTCTTGGAGGGCAATGGTTGTGAAATAACGTCAGAGATAGAGGATTTGACATATTGAATGATCTCATCGGGGTTTATGATTTTATTTGGAATGATGAGTTCATCTTTGTCGAGTTGAGCCTCTCTGTATTTCTTATTCAACCTGTAGTTGCCAATTCCAGCTCGACCCCGTTGGATCTCCACAAAGTAGAAGTTCTGAAGATGGAACAAACTCAAAAGCATTGAGTCCACGGGAAGCTCTTGCCAGCCAGTCATTCTTTTGAGTACCGCATTTATGCTCTCCGATGCATTGTTAGTGATGCCAGAGTAAGGATCGTAGAGTGTAGGGAACTCCTCTATGATCCATCTGCCAGAGTGTGTCAGCAAATCTTTTTTCATGTGCCGATCAAAATACGCTTTTGCTTTCTCGGCCCACTTTGCGGTCAGATCCTGATAAGAATGTTCAAACTGGGAAATTGTCTCGCATTGAGCCATCTTTCTCCAGTCTGCCAAATACACGCTGGTTTCATTAGAATCAGCCCCCAGTTTCCGCAATTCTTCTTTAAAGTCTCGTTTCAAGTGGTTCCAACAATGTAGTACAGTAATGTTTGGAAAGTACATCTGGACTGCCTTAGTTAGAGCCGGTTCGCGATCTGTTATGAAAGGAATTTTCTTTGTTTTAAGGATAGGAACCCTTTCCGCCAGGAATTCAAAGAGACGATTGTGACATTTTTGGAGTTTTCTGTCATGCACCAGAAATGCCAGAGGAATCCATGGCGTGTTTTCGAACAGAACATGGCGAAACACAAGAGGAGACACATAGAAATCACCAAGATTGAACGTAGTGTCGTACACCAGACTGACAGGCTCATCTGCATCACTCTGCAAAAGTTCTATGAAAGTATTCATAATGTCTGGGAGTGCAAAAATTGTTAATAAATCTGGATATACGGTAATTTCGGCAACAAACCCATCCAAGTGGTAAGCAAGTTGAACTAAGTTGTAGATATCATCTTTGCTTAATCTCCCTTGTGATCTTGTGATGGCTTGGTGGTTCTTAATTTGTCTAAGATTTCTGGGATTAAGAACACCCTGATGCTCTCCACCTACATCTGACTTCGAACTTAATTTTCTATATACTGTCATTGGCTTTGCATGGGTCTGCTTTATTTCAGTTAGGAGTGATTTTGTTGACCTTACATATTCACTCTCGTTGTTTTTGCTATTTCCGTGTGGAATTGGCACATAAAGCTTTTCATCCCCGTGGTATGTTATCAAAACTCTGTTCGGGTTTGATGACAAATGATACGAGCTTCTTTTGAACTTGTTTGAAGAGTTGGCTCTGCTGCGGCCTTTACCTTCCTTAACCCCTGGTAAACGGATATGGAAGTGGTTTTTTACAATTTCCTGGCCACTGCTGGAGTTCATAACATTTTTGCCTTTATGAACCCATTGGTACTGGTCGCATGTCCAATCTTGTGGATTAGGACATTCTACTAAAAACGATTCACCAGCTTTGGGTTTGACAGGAGGGACCCTATTGACAAGGTCAGCTGGTGGATTCTGGAGAGCATCATCTATTTCAGCTAAAGACAATGACTTGTCTGCAAACAATGTGATACCACCGCCAAGGAGAGGTTCAATTGGTCGGGACTGGGTGGAACTGGACTGGATGGAACTGGACTGGATGGAACTGGAGTGGGTGGAACTGGACTGGGTGGAACTTGGATAGACTTCTTGGTTACTGAAATAAAAATAAAGATTATAAGTTGATTTTATATACTAGGTTGTAATTTTAGTCATTATATTATGTTCAATGTTCTAATATCAATGTTCTAGTATCATCATTATTACGATTATATAATTAAGTTGATTTGGTATATTATGTTGTAATTTTATATATCATCATTCATCAGTGTTTTATTTCAATTATAATGCTACTATTTAAAAAAAATTAAGTACATGTACTTTAGTAACTTACCAGTTAGAAGTCAAATCCGATGGTTCAGGCTTGGTGTCGTCAGTGTGCTCATCATCATCATCGCTGTCAATACCAGTGAGGACGTTGTTGGTTTTGTCAAACCTGCAATAACAATAAAGATATTAGTTACGTGTCTAATGAATTATTCTTTGAATACTTCTGTAACACTAAAATATTCCATGTTTAAATTAATTTGAATTTATTTTTCCTTTTATTAACAAATGAATTTTTTTATAAATATAACATGGAATTTATTTCGTGTTTACAGATGACATGTATGCTCTGAAGTCCGTGTGAAGATTCTCCATTTCAATATGGATTAGCATAGACCGGAGAAAAAATCTATGCAATCCGTACAATTAATAAAATAATTTCTAAATATACAAAGTATAGTGACCATAAAAGTGATCTGTCTTGGGTTGTACACAAAATATGGTCTCCTAACGTGAGAGTCATCTACCACCCATATTACAACAAGACCATCAATCAGCAAAAATACATTTATAAAAAATGTATTCAAGTCTGATCACTATATGCCTTGTAATAATACGAGACCCGAGGTCAGGCTTTTCCAAAGTAG